TGAGGCTGGAGCCAAACCGGGAACGAAAACACAAGGCAAATGGCAGTGAGAATAGCTTTTCTTAGGGCTTGTGGGCGAGGTTCCTCGGTCCAAAGGTATGGGCCGAGGAAATCGCACTGAGGGAGGAGGGTGGGGGCTTCTTATAGCCTGAGAGGTAGGGAAGCTGGTTGTGCAAACAGGGCCTGGGGGGTCTTGAAACTACTAGGGCAGGAGTTGAGTAAGGGTCATGAGGAAGGGGTCTTTGGAAACTGTCGACAGAAATTGCTGTTGACGAACTTGTGGAATGTAGGTGAGCTGCAGGTCATGGGGGAGTGTGACTGCCCAGCCGGAACTCTGACGCATGTAAGTCTGAGGGTGTGTACAAGGGTGAAGGGAGTCTTTAACAAAAGGCCTGCTACGCCGGGTAACGCTGCCATGTTGGGTCTAGATTCCTGCCTAACATTCCGACCTCTTTCTAATAAGAAAATGGGGCGACGTGTTCATCCGGCTGCTTCCTGCTGGTATGGGTCGTCGTGGGGTTTTTCGGAGGTCGGAACTTGGGTATAGGGGTGGAGCAGCATCTGATTGAAAGTGACCTGGGAGACTTCTTTCATGCGGTCCTGGATGAAGTGGAGGACACAGGGAGCTATGAGTAGCAAGAAGCCAATGATTATTAAGGGGCTTAGAAAGGGTAGGACTTAACCAGCCACAGATGACTGCCACCACCTAAGTGAGGGCCTCTTGGGTAAGTTTGGTGGCAGCCGCCAGGGCTCGCAGACAAGGTTGCCAGCCCTGGACTGTGGGATCTAACTGCTTGGAGAGATAGGCCACAGCCTGGTATGTGGATCCAACTGGCTGGGCTAGGAGGCCAGTGGCTACCTTCTGGTGCTCCTCGGTGAATAGATGAAAGGGCCGAAGGGGGTTGGGGAGAGAGAGAGCAGGGGCAGAAAGGAGACAGTCCTGAAGCTTCTTGAAAGAGTTGGCGACCAAGGAGGGGTCAGACAGCAGTCCGGTGGGTGTCTCCCTGGCAGCCTGGTAGAGGGGCTTACCTAGGACCCCGAAGCTGGGAATCCAATGCCTGAAATACCCTACCAGTCCTAGGAAGGACAAGATCTCTTCCGCATCCTGAGGAGGCTGGAGAGTTTTAATGAGGCTTATTCTATCTGCCGTAAGGCTTTTTGTAGTGGGTGTGAGTAGTATGCCTAGGTAGGTGACAGAAGGGGTGCAAAGTTGAGCCTTAGCCGGGGTAACCCAATAACCTCAGTCGCCTAGAAAATTTAGAAGTGTAGCAGTGTCTGCAAGGGAGCTCTCCCAGGAAGGACTACATAGTAATAGATGATCTACGTATTGTAGAAGGGTGCTATGGGTTAAGGGGCAGAGGAAGATGTCCTGTGCCAGTGCCTGTCCGAAAAAATGAGGGCTATCTCGGAACCCTTGAGGCAAGACAGTCCAGGTCAACTGGGAAGAAACATGAGTGTCTGGGTCCTCCAATGTGAAGGCAAACAAAGTGGCAGTCTGGGTCTAGAGGGATGGTAAAGAAGGCATCTTTCAGGTCAAGGACAGTGAAATGAGTGGTGTTGGGGAAACTCGTGAGAGGAGTGCATATGGATTAGGAACTACTGGAAAGGTAGGGACAACTGCCTCATTGATGAGGCGTAGGTCCTGCACGAGGCGATAGGCCCCAGAGCTTTTCCGTACAGGCAGGATAGGAGTATTGGGTGGTGAGCTGGCGGGAACTAGAATGTGCTGTCGGAGCAGGCATGTAATGATAGGTTTTAATCCCTGTCGATGTTCAAGGGAGATAGGGAACTGGGGTCTAGATGGGAACTTGGAAGGATCTTTTAGCCGGATGTGGACCGGAGTGTGGTGCTGGGCATCAGGGTGGAGGTGTCCCACACCTTAGGGTTAATGGGGACTGGAAACGGGAGTGGGGGGTCAGCCTGGCGGGGTTTGTCAGGTGAGAGGAGGGGGAAGAGGAATGCGAGGTGTGGGGAGGGGTTGGGTCGGACGTGAACTGAGGCCCCTAGCTTGGAGAGGAGATCTCGTCCTAACAAGAGGACTGGGCGCGAAGGAATGGTAAGAAATGAGTGCGAGAAGAGGAAGCCATCCAAGCGGCAAGACAGAGGAGGAGTCTGGCGGTAGGTGGAGGGAGTGCCATCAATTCCCACGACCATGACAGTGGAGGGGTGGCTGGGGCCACTAAAGGAAGGTAAAACAGAGTAGGTAGCCTCCGTGTCCATAAGGAAGGATATGGACTTACCCACTACCAGGAGCATAACCCCGGGCTCGGCGAGAGTAAGAGGGGTCCCCGAGTCTGGGCCTCTTCAATCTTCGTCAGTGTCGAGGAGCTGGAAGGCGCCTCCAATACCTGGAGGAGGGTCGTCACGTGGAGGCGCAGCGACCGTCCTTAGGTCGGGGCAGTCTGACTTCCAGTGGCCCATCTGCCGACAGTTCGGACAGGGGCGAGTTGGCTCCTTTGGGTTAGGGCACTGCCTGGCCCAGTGGCCGTCGTTGCCTCACTTGAAGCAGGCACCAGATGGCGCTCGGGGAGTACCTCCTTTCTGGGAGCTCCTGGAGCCAGCCAGCCTCAGGGCTGCTACCAAGGCCTGGGTTTGGAGTTGTACCTTCTGTTTTAGCCTGGCCTGTCGTTGGGCCTCAGCTGCTTCCTCCCTGGAGTTGTAGACCTTGAAGGCCAGTTTGACTAAGTCCTGGATGGGAGTTTGAGGGCCTTCCTCCACCTGTTTAAAATTTTTTTTTTGGATATCAGGGGCCGACTGAGAAATGAAATATGAGGCCAAGATGGTTCCTCCTGCAGGGGAGGCAAGGTCAAGGCGGGTGTACTGAATAAGTGCCTCAGTCAGCCGGTTAAGAAAAACAGCCGGATTTTCATCTGCGCCTTGGACTACCTCCTTTAGTTTGTTAAAGTTGACTGATTTGTTAGAGGCTGCCTGCATGCCGGCAAGAAGGCACTGAACCATCATGTCTTGGCGGCAGCGGCGGCCTGCCTGCCCCACCTGGTAGTCCCAGTTGGGCTCAGCCGAGGGCACTGCCTGGCATGGCAGGGTCAGTTAAATGAACCTGATTAGCATGCTGCCTGGCTGCCGCTAGGATGCGTTCCTGCTCCTCAAGAGACAGGGTTGAGGTCATAACGAAATGAAGCTCGTGCCAGGTGAGATCATATTCCTGGCATATATACCTAAACTCTTTGATATAACCAGTAGGATTGGCCGAAAAGGAGCCTGCACACTCCTCAACCTTAGACAAGTCTGCCAATGAAAACGGCACATGGACCCGGACTACTCCTTCGGCGCCTGCCACCTCTCATAAGGGACACAGGAGGTCGGTCCTGGACCGAGTATGGGCTGAGACAGGCGAGAAAGGGGAGGAGGTGGAGGTAGGTGAGACAGAATCTGTCGGGTTTGGTAAAGGCACAGGAGAGGGAGAAGGGTGAGGAGGCATTGACGAGGATGGGGATAACGGGGGGTCAGGGTAAGGAGGAGGTTGGGCAGGAGACCAGAGGGGTGGCCAGGATAGGGTGTCAGGAGGCTCAGAAAAAGAGGAGGAATCATCCCTCTCCTTGCCCGAGGGAAGAGACTTTGCGAGCAGAACTTGAGCTAACGAGCACTGGGCGCAGAGATCTGGGCGAGAACACAAGTCCCAAAAGGCCTGAACATAGGGTATCTCGGACCATTTGCCTAGTCTCTTGCAGAAGTTGGTCAGAGCTGTGAGAATGTTAAAGTCTAGAGTGCCTTCTGCAGGCCACTGAGACTGATTGTCCAATTTATACTGCGGTCATGCTACTGTGCAGAAGAAAATGAGCTGCTTTTGTTTTAGGTCTTGGCTGAGACTTAAAGTCTGGAAATTAGCCAAGAGGCACCTCAGAGGGGATTTTCCGTCTAGTTTGGACTGGGTAGTTCCCATGGTCTTAAGGCGGGCAGTCCGGAGGCAATGGGAGCCTCCTCTCACTGCCACGCGGAGTGCGGTGTACGTGGCTTCCAGGGAGGTTGGACGTCTCCTAGTCCCTGGTGCCGAGGTCACAGCTGACCGGACAGAGCCCCTGACACGGCCGCGCGTTTCGGACAGGGACTCCCGGAAGTAGCCTTCAGGACGGGGGAAACTTACCCAGCAATGATCGAATTGAGTCTTAAATTTGGTGAGACGGCTCCAGGCTTGAGGAGGGGATCCCGGCTCAGGGAGAAGAGAGCCTGTCCGACCCAGCAGGGGTCCGGGGAGGGGGTCTCCTCCCTGGTTTCAGCACCAAATGTAAAAGTAAACTGAGGCTGGAGCTGAACCGGGAACGAAGACACAAGGCAAATGGCAGTGAGAATAGCTTTTCTTAGGGCTTGCGGAGGAGGTTCCTCGGTCCAAAGGTGTGGGCCGAGGAAGTCGCACTGAGGGAGGAGGGTGGGGGCTTCTTATAGCCTGAGAGGTAGGGAAGCTGGTTGTGCAAACAGGGCCTGGGGGGTCTTGAAACTACTAGGGCAGGAGTTGAGTAAGGGTCATGAGGAAGGGGTCTTTGGAAACTGTCGACGGAAATTGCTGTTGACGAACTTGTGGAATGCACGTGAGCTGCAGGTCACGGGGAGTGTGACTGCCCAGCCGGAACTCTGACGCATGTAAGTCTGAGGGTGTGTACAAGGGTGAAGGGAGTCTTTAACAAAAGGCCTGCTACACCCGGTAACGCCACCATGTTGGGTCTAGATTCCTGCCTAACAACGGGGTTTGGGCAGGTTGGCCAGGGTGGCCTCGAAATCTTGACTTCTGTTGCCCAGAGTGCTCATGGCTCATTGCAGCCTCCACACCCTGGGCTCAAGTGATCCTCCCATCTCAGCCCCCAGAGTATGTGGGACTACAGTCACGTGCCACCACCGCTGGCCTCCTGTATTCTTATATGTATACAGTAACTCACAATTAAAGGGTAAATAAATATAAGATCTAGTCAAGGGTATTGGGAGGCCTGGCCTAGAAATTTCGTCTTTCACTAAAGAAAATTTTAACTCAAGAAATATTTACAATTGTCATCGTAGTCCATAAAATCGGTCTTTTTAGTTGCCAAAATTAGAAGTTGCATACAATTACAAGAGTAAAATAGAATTATAAAACGGTACGTTAGGTTTAAGGTTTATGGCCGGGTGCGGCGGCTCACGCACTTTGGGAGGCCGAGGCAGGCGGATCGCTGGAGACCAGGAGAGCGGGACCCAGTCTCTACAAAATAAAAATAAAATGTGGGGAGAGGGTGACGTTTTCCAGGTACAGAGGGGAGGTCCGGGCAGAAGCGCAGGGAGAAAGTGTGAATATGCTGAGCGTATTCCGGGAGCAGCAAGTAAGCCGGTGTGACCGCAGGGAAATGGAGGCCTGGATGCCGGACGGTGAGGGTGACTGCGCGAGCGTCCGCCCAAGAAGTCTCCCCGCTTTCCCGCCTTTCCTCAGCCTTCGGCCCCTTTTTGCTTTCCTTTCGCACTGTGCTGGCTCCGCCCCTCCGCCGGCGCCCGTGGCCTCGCTCCTGAGGGAAACAGGCCGGGGGTGGGGCCGGCGTGGTCATCTCCGTGCGCCTTCCCTCAGGGCGCCGAGCCGCTGGCGCCGTCTGTCTGACGTCACGGTCACTGACAGCGTGAGCCCGCGGCGGCTGCTGCCATGGTGGCTGGCGGCCGGGTAAGGTTCTGAGTGGATCTCCTGCCAGGCCAGAGCTCGTTCCTGGGCCGCAGGGGAAGGCCGGGAGTTTGCAGCCAGGGCGGCGGGTTTGTGGTCTGCAGTGTTGTGAGGCTGAGGTGGGGGTTGAAGGCCCAGAAGCCGGACTCTGTGACCCGGATCGGAGGGTGTGCTGGAGGGGTGGCTATGTCCAGGCTGGGTGAGGGGAGCGGCAGTGGGGCCCAAGGGGCTGGAGGAGGCTTTAGGGTTCAGACTGGGATGCAGGTAGTCAGGCGCTCAGGGTTTGGGCAAGGTGATACCTGCCGGGGTTCTGCCTTGGGGGTGGGTTTACCAGACTCACGAATCTCTCTCTCTCCCTACGCCCGCCCGCCCGCCTGCCTGCCTGCTCCCGGTGGCTTCTGCTGGCCGCAGGTGCAGCATGTCTAGACTGGGAGCCCTGGGTGGTGCCCGTGCCGGGCTGGGACTGTTGCTGGGTACCGCCGCCGGCCTTGGATTCCTGTGCCTCCTTTACAGCCAGCGATGGAAACGGACCCAGCGCCATGGCCGCAGCCAGAGCCTGCCCAACTCCCTGGACTATACGCAGACTTCAGAGACCGGACGCCAGGGTAGGAGCCCGTCTCCTGAGACCGCGGTCACTGCAGACTAATGGGCCTGGGGTCTGGGCTGCTTTTGGTGGAGATTGTGGGACAGGGCAACGTAGAGAAGCGCCTTAGGGTTTCACTCTTTTGGAAGCTTGTTGAAAAAGCAGTCGTCGGGCCGGGTGCGGTGGCTCACGCCTGTAATCCCAGCACTTTGGGAGGCCTAAGCGGGCGGATCACCTGAGGTCAGGAGTTCAACACCGGCCTGACCAACATTCAACCAGATGTCAACATGGTGAAACCCCATCTCTACCAAAAATACAAAAATTAGCCGGGCGTGGTGGCGCGGCCTGTAGTCCCAGCTACTGGGGAGGCCGAGGCACGAGAATCGCTTGAACCCAGTAGGCAGAGGTTGCAGTGAGCTGATGTTTCGCCACTGCACTCCAGCCTGGGCGACAGAGTGAGACTCCGTCTCAAAAAAAAAAAAAAAAAAAAAAAAAAGCAGTCGTGGTTTTCTCTACTCTTTACCCTGTATTCCCAAGCAAGTATATTTCAAAAAGACTGCTTAGCTTTCGCTTTTAGTTCTGGCCACACTAGTGCTATGTGGGTGTTAAAGGCACTTGCTTAGTGTTGGGTGAGGTGTGTAATAAGTAGAGAGAATCCAAAAGAGGGCAAAAATAATAATCTTGTAGGAATTAAAAGTCTTCAGGGTTATGTATTAAATCATATATTTGAATTTGAAGACAACTTGGAAACTATCTCATTCAAGTTTTTTTTTTTTTTTAATCCCTCCTATGAGGAAACCAGGATTCAAAAAGATTGTGTAACTTTCCTGAGGCTGTCACAGATTAAGTGGCAAGGTTGGGCCTGTTGGGCCTGGTCACCTGGTCCAGTGGAGTTTCTACGGCATAGGGCTAGGAGCACGCTTAATGCAATTGAAGCTGAATGTGGCTGGCAGCCCGCACAGCTGAAATGAGTAGTTCTTTCAAATTTGCAGATTTGTTAATTCGTTTGAGCAAAGGATCTAGGGCTGTTTCAAACTACTACCATATTTGTGCAAGAGGAGTGTTTTTTTCTTTTCTTTTTTCTTTTTTTTTTTTTTTTGAGATGGAGTCTCGCTCTGTTGCGCAGGCTGGAGTACGGTGGCATGATCTTGGCTCACTGCAACTTCCACCTCCCTGGGTTCAAGTGATTCTTATGCCTCAGCCTCCCAAGCAGCTGGGATCACAGGTGTGCACTACCATGCCCAGCTAATTTTTGTATTTTTAGTAAAGATGGGGTTTCCCCATGTTGGCCAGGCTGGTCTCGAACTCCTGGCCTCAGCCTCCTAAAGTGGTGGGATTACAGGCGTGAGCCACCACACCTGGCCAAGAGGAGCGTTTACATTATCTCACTCCCACGCTAATTGGAAATGAGTGTTTTCTCTGATTGCCAGTGTTAGATGGTTTGGAAAAGTTAGTTCTGGAGGAGTCTTCAAAGAGCTGTCACCTTAGATTGCAACTGATTGTCGGCACTTTATAATCTGGTGGTAATCTAGTATTGCAGTGTGCTTCCTTCCCTTGTATTTTGTTTGTAATTGCTTCGCAGTAGTCTTTCTTCTGAGATTAGAAGCGGCCACATTCCCAGAGATCTTTCTTGCTCTACATTCTTGAGCATTATTGGATGTGTGTTGTAGCCTGGCCTAGTTTTTTTTTTGTTTTTTTTTTTTGTTGTTTTTTTTTTTTTTTACCAGATTTCCTTTAAGAAGGGATTTATGCTTGCCATATTGTGGGGTCCTGCCTCTCTGGTTTCCTTTTTGTTTTTGCATCTTTCAGTCCAGTTACCGTAGGTGGCTGTCACTTTGCTACCATTTCACTGCTGGAATTTACTCAAAAGAGTGAGGCCTAGGGTTGGGTCAGCAGGGCTTAGTAATGGTGTTTTTCTGAGGCGGTTTGGATGGGCTTTTTCTGGTGTACCTCTTCCCTTAGCAACTGCCCCCTTTCTCCTACTCCTTCTCTGATACACTAAATGAAGTTCTGGGAGAAACTCCCAAGTTTTCCCTACTATTGTTTGTGAAGTGAGAGATCAGAATGTGATGGAGCTCAGTTTTAGTTTTAGTTTTGCTGTGTGGTTGGTATTGACTCCCTGGTATTGGGCACTATACAGTGAGGTAAAGGTTTTTTTTTTTTTACTCTAGCAGGACAGCTGTCCTTCAGATTCCACACTCGGGCAAGCATTTTACATTATCTGTCGTGGTGTGCAGCATTCCTGAAGGGCCCTGGTATGGAAGGTTCTTGGAGCAGAGGACTCTTGTTTAGAGATCCCTGGGTAGTTTCTTGGGACTTGTTACCATGACCTGGCTGTGAATGTGTGCTACCTGAGCGTCACTGGGCCTTCTCTTCCAATGGAAAGCAGGTGTTCTTGAATTCTAGGTGTGAGATCTCTTCCCCACTATATTCCTGGGTGTCACTGGCTCCCATTCTCCTTCCTTCAGTGATGCTCTTGCGGGCTGTCTCAGGTGGGGCTGGAGATGCCGCAGTACTGCCCAGCCTTCCACGGGAAGGACAGGAGAAGGTGCTGGACCGCCTCGACTTTGTGTTGACCAGCCTTGTGGCACTGCGGCGAGAGGTGGAGGAGCTGAGGAGCAGCCTGCGAGGACTTGCCGGAGAGATTGTTGGGGAGGTCCGGTGAGTAATGCAGCTTCCTCTCCCGCTTTATCCCTCCCCTGCAGCTTTTTCAGCTGAGGTGTGTTCTGGCCTTTGCTCTCTGTCTCTAAAGAAGAAACCAGTTTTATAGCTTCTAGCCTAATCTGGGTGGAAGCTATACATTTAGTACCTCGCCTTGCACACGCTCCTTGCTGCTTCTGGACTCTCATGGTTGATCTGTTGTAGCAGCTGAAATGCTCTGTTTGCCTAACCTAGTCTGTCTATGTGGTCTGGGCCCAGGGAGCTGCCCTTCTTACCCTCCTGAGGGTTAGAGACCTAGGATTTTCTCTGCTTTTGGCCCTTTAATGAGGAGCAGTAGTAAGAGGCACCCCATGGTGAGCAGAAAGACAGGCTGGATGGGACCTAATGGTACCCTTCGGGATGGGGCCTGCTTTCCAGATCCCACATGGAAGAGAACCAGAGAGTGGCTCGGCGGCGAAGGTTTCCGTTTGTCCGGGAGAGGAGTGACTCCACTGGCTCCAGCTCTGTCTACTTCACGGCCTCCTCGGGAGCCACATTCACAGATGCTGAGAGTGAAGGGGGGTGAGTTGTCTCTCCTGGAGGCAGTTATGGCTACAGCCAGGTGGTGTTTTGTAAAAGTATTATCAATGGAAAATCCAAACCAAGCTGCTGCAAATAATTTTTGGAACAGGTAAGAGTATAATAAATACAGAAGAGTTGAAATGAAAAACCCGTCCAATTTATGTCATTCAGACAAATGTAGATGTTAATAGCAGTTATTGCTTACATCTGTTATCTTAGTTTATTACATAGTTATGATATATTATTTGGGCGTTTTTCTGTGTTATCACAAGGACTTGATAAGCATTGTTTGACTTTGTTCCTTTCCTTGGGTGGCCGAGCTGTTGTACCTAGATGTCTAAGCACGAAGCATGCTCCTCCCTGGGAGTCACCCTCTTCCCACAGGGGAGCCGTGCCTGTGATCTTTTGCATTTTTACAGGTGGGAGGTGGATGTCCTGAGTTCTTAGTGGCCCAGGAGGGCTGACGATAGGCCTTTCTGTGAGGCGGGGCAGGTGGCAGGAGTCTGGTGGACAGCCTCCTCCAAGTCTGGTCATGCTAAGGGCGTTTTGAGTTTAAACCACTAGCACCACTTTGAAACTTTGGTCCCAAGGATAGAGTCTGATGTTGTCACTAGCAGCATCTGCCCTTGTCTGCTGCTAGCTCCGATCATTCAGGTAGCCTGTGTGAGGCCTAGAGGCCGATTTCTCCTTGTCCAGCCTTCTTCTCAAGGGAAAGACTGGTGCAGAGAACAGCCAAGTTTTATGCTGGATCAGAGAAATTAGCTATAAGCAGGCAAATGGAAACTAGAAGTTAAAATCAGTCAGTTAAAACCAGGCATGGTGGTGGCTCATGGTAATCCCAGCACTTTGGTAGGCCGAGACAGGAGGATTGCTTGAGTTCAGGAGCTTGAGACCACCTGGGCAAGGCAGCAAGACCACATCTCTACATAAAATAACTACCTGGGGGAGGCCGAGGTGGGCGGATCACCTGAGGTCAGGAGTTTGAGACCAGTCTGGCCAACATGCTGAAATCCTGTCTCTACTAAAAATACAAAAATTAACCAGGCGTGGTGGTGCATGCCTGTAATCCCAGCTAATCAGGAGGCTGAGGCAGCAGAATTGCTGGAACCCAGGAGGCGGAGGTTTCAGTGAGCCGAGATCATGCCACTGCACACCAGCCTGGGAGATAAGAGTGAGACCCCATCTCAAAAAAAGAAAAAAAAAAAAAAAGCTGGGCATGGTGGCATGGGCTGGTAGTCCCAGCTACTTGGGAGGCTGGGAGTTTGAGGCTGGAGTGAGCCATAATTGTGCCACTGCACTCCAACCTGGGTGACAGAGCAAGACCCTGCCTCAAAAAAAAAAAAAAAAAAAAAAAAGTAAATACTAGGTGAAAGGAATTTTTCAGCTCCATTATAATCATATGCACCCACTGTTATATGCACAGTCCATTGTTGACTGACACGTCATTATCACCAACGCTGGATTTGATGACTGCTCAGGGGCCTCCAAAAACCTGTGGAGTGGTGTCGAAGAGCTCTGCTCCTCCATGGGGGACTGCTGTTGCCTGGGTTGTCAGATCCCTATTATCTGTATTTTCAAGGGCAAGCAGAGGTGGCCCTTTTCTATTCAATTTACCTAAATGGCTCTGGGCCAAGAGATGCTTCCAGAAGTTGTGTTAAAGAGGGGGCAAAAATGAAATTAACATTTGATACATCTGAAGTGAAGAGAGAGATGGAGGAAGTAGTTGACAGTGGGCACTGAGATGTAAAAGAACATCTCTGCAACCCAAGGAAGCAGGCCACTTGGGTGGGGAATTGATATTTGAACTCTCTAAGGAGGTAGAACAGAAGGAGAGGTCACAGTTCTGCCCCAGATCAAACACAACTTGAGGTCCTTCATGACTGTTTTTTGTTTTGTTTTGAGACAGGGTCTCACTCTGTTGCCCAGGCTGGAGTTCAGTGGCACCATCACAGCACAGCAGCCTCAACCCCTTGGGCTCAAGTGGTCCTCCTGCCTCAGCCTTCTGAGTAGCGGGGACTACAGGCATGTGCCACCATGCCAGCCAACTTTGTTTATTTTTTTGTAGAGATGGGGTCTCACTATGTTGCCCAGGCTGGTCTTGAACTCCTGGCCTCAAGCAGTTCTCCCACATTGGCCTCCAAGTGCTGAGATTACAGGCATGAACCATCGCACCTGGTCCTCTTTGTGATGATTTAAAGAAGTTGTCCTAGGCCGGCGCGGTAGCTCAGGCCTGTAATTCCAGCACTTTGGGAGGCCGAGGCGGGTGGATCACTTGAGGTCAGGAGTTCAAGACCAGACGACCAACATGGTGAAACCCTGTGTCTACTAAAAATACAAAAATTAGCTGGGCATGGTGGTGTGCGCCTGTAATTCCAGCTATTCCGGAGGCTGAGACAGGAGAATCACTTGAACCCAGGAGGTGGAGGTTGCTGTGAGCCAAAATTGCACCACTGCACTCCAGCCTGGGCAACAGAGAAAGATTCCACCTCAAAAAGACAAGTACAAACTTCTGGGGTCAGTGGGAGCCAGAGCAGTTAACCAGGGACATCTGTGGGACCTTCACTGCTAGGGGTGCTCACTGGGACTCCTAAGGCCACAAGGAGCAGGCCAGAGCTGCCAGACACCTGTGATGGGGCAAGGGGAGGGGTGGCTTTCTTAATTATAGCTCCATCAGGCTGTGTCCCATGCCCAGTCCCGTGGCATGAGAGCAGGTGGTGGTGCAACACTCTGTGGTTGAGCTGGCTGCTCTCTAGGGCAGTGGCCGTGGTGAATGATTCTTTGTGCCATCGTCATTGCCATGTAGGTCAAGGGGGAGCTCTAGGAGTCTACAAACTCTGAAATGGCTTTGAACCTGTGTCTTGGGGCAAGGAGAGCTGCCTTGAGGGATGAAGGGCTGAGATTTGATGGGCTGCTTGATTTCACTGAAAGCTGTATTCCTTCTTCCAAATAACAACTTTGAGGTCTCAGGAGACTGAGGGTGGCAGAGGCAGAATCACTGTGCAGCTCTGTGAGCTTGTTCCCCGGGCATTGTACCAAACACAGCTTGAGTTCCCTGTCAGAACCCAACTTGCCCTAAAACACCAGCTCCTCCAGCAAGCCTTCCCAGGCATCTCAGCCAAGAGAGATTGCCTGCAGCCTCATCGTGAAGACTCCTTCTTGGGCATTTATGGCCTCATTAAGTTGGGTCTTATCTCAAGGTCAGGGCCCATGTGCCTGGTCATCTTTGAAGACCTCATACTCAATCTCTAACATGGTTTAGGTAGAGTTAAGAGAAACTTAATTGCCAGGAGGGGAGATGTGCATAACTGAGTCCTTCATTACTGCTTAAGAGTGGCAGTCTCCTTGCTCAGAGGGAGCCTTGGGTCTCGGGTCCACTGTGGGAACTCCAGTCCTCCGGAGTGCACAGGACCAAAGGACCTTTTCAAGGGTCCCTGCTAGTCCCTGGCAGATCTCAAAAGCCTCAGGCTATGTTAAAAGGGTCACTCCTCTGTAGTAGATTTCTCCAAGGACTGGTTGGGTTAGTCCGGGAGGTGGGAGGTGAAAGAGAATGGTGTAAATGTGGTAGCCCTTGGCATGTGATTAATCTCTTCTGAGGCCCCAGTAGCTGCCCCAGGCAATAGGGTTTCAGATTGATGAGGAGAGTGCCTTAAAGTGGGGCTGAGATGCAATTACAGTCCACTTGTTAAAGTGCCAGCTTCCCTGGAGCCTCCCTGCCTCACAAGGCTCTGCCAGCTTTCACTCTGTTTGTGGCAGCAAGGCCCCCTGACCTCTCTTCTTGGCTTTGTGAGCTGGGCCTTTAGGATCCAGAGGGATGGCAGTATCACAGGTCAGGTCCCAGGGGATTCTGTGCTGATGCCTGGGCTCCAGCAGGGCTAGGCTGGGGTTACTGGAGGCAGAGAGACTCCTGTTTGGACTCCTGATTGGCTGAGGCAGCCCTCAACCCAGCAAGAAATAGGGTCTCCCCCTCTTTCTAGCAAAGGGAGATGATGTGATTCCAGCTTTCCGTTCCAGATAAACCATCTATCCATTTTGCCTTTGGGCCTGGCTGGGCAGAGAAGACTCTGGTTTGATTTTTCTTAATCTGTGGCAGGTGCAGTTGGCAGTTTCGGTTTCTCTAGGTTGCCTGTGGGTGGTCTCGCTCATCAGTTCCTAGGTTGGTTACAAAATCTAATGACACATCCTTCTGCCTTTAATTTCTAAAGGTGCTTTTTTTTTTTTTCCCCCTAATAACTAAAGGGAAAAGATACTTGGATAACCTCTTAAAAAACAAAGGTGCGCTGTAATCCCAGCACTTTGGGAGGCCGAGACGGGCGGATCACAAGGTCAGGAGATCGAGACCATCCTGGCTAACATGGTGAAACCCCGTCTCCACTAAAAAAATACAAAAAACTAGCCTGGCGAGGTAGCGGGCGCCTGTAGTCCCAGATGCTAGGGAGGCTGAGGCAGGAGAATGGCATGAACCTGGGAGGTGGAGCTTGCAGTGAGCTGAGATCCGGCCACTGCACTCCAGCTTGGGTGACAGAGCGAGACTCCGTCTCAAAAAAAAAAAAAAACAAAGGTGCGGTTAAGAAAGGTTTTAAATACCTTACAAGTTCTTGTAGTAGATATGTCTGGGGCCTCTTTTTTAGATGAGGCTGAAGCTCCTCTGTAAGGATGCTGTCAGCATGGACTGGACATCTGGTCTGGTTGCTCACTTTCAGAGCCTTCAGAGCCTGCCGCCTTGTAGTTTCTGGACAGGAGGACAGCACTTCTGCCCTGACATTAGGCTATCATGTGTTGACTTTATTTGTAGGTGTGTGTGTCATCTCTCCTTCAATCCTGTTTTGCTCCAGCCACAGGGAGCCTACTCTATTTTTTCTTTTTCTTTTTTTTTTTGGATGGCGTCTCTCTCTGTCGCCCAGGCTGGAGTGCAGTGGCATGATCTCGGCTCACTGCAAGCTCCGCCTCCCGGGTTCACACTATTCTCCTGCCTCAGCCACCCAAGTAGCTGGGACTACAGGCGCCTGCCACCATGCCTGGCTAAGTTTTTGTTTTTAGTAGAGATGGGGTTTCACCGTGTTAGCCAGGATGGTCTCGATCTCCTTACCTCGTGATCCATCCACCTCGGCCTCCCAGAGCGCTGGGATTACAGGTGTGAGCCACCGTGCCTGACCTTGTGTTTGCTTCTGACCCCCAGAAGTCCTACCTTTTCCCTTGCTCAGTCTTTATCTATTTTAGACAATTAGGGAAAACACCCTAATCAACTGCTGGTGGCTGACATCCAAGAGAAACTCAGCTTCCTCTTTAGTGGGTGCATCAGGGTTGGGGCTTAGGAGCCACCTGGCATGTGGCAGCCCCCACCAACACCTTTTCCAGGGGTGGTTTGCATCGTCTTCCCCTTCTTGCTTCTGGCTGCAAAGTGATTCCTATCATCTCTCCTCACACCCTTAAGTTCTCAAGGTTACCAAGGGCTACTCCTGTTGCGGTTTAGGTTTGGTTGACTTGGGCCAGAGGTTATGTTTGTGGATGCGTGTGGCTGCCCATGGTCTGAGGCTGCACCCACCCACGTTGGTTCTGATAAGTGTCTCTGACTCATAAGGCAGAAATGAGCAGGGGCTTCTCACATTTGCCTTGACTGTCACAGGGCCCCAGCTGATCGGCTACTCTTTCCTTCCCAGATCATTTTCCCAGCCCTTAGTTCCCATAGGAAGCTTTCTCTCAAATAATGATTTCTGCTGGGCATGGTGACTCATGCCTGTAATCCCAGCACTTTGGGAGGCCAAGGTGGGCAGATCACTTGAGGCCAGGGGATTGAGACCAGTCTGGGCAACATGGCAAAACCCCATCTCTACTAAAAATACAAAAAAATTAGGTGGGAGAGTTGCTTGAACCCAGGAGGTGGAAGTTCAAGTGAGCCAAGATCGAGCCACTGCACTCCACCCTGTCTCAAGAAAAGAAAAAAGAAAAAAAAATCTGCCCTCAAGAGGTATTTGGTGCTTTGGACAATGCCATGAAGAGTGCTGCTTTGGTGGTGAGGGATACAGACCCTAGGGGCTCTGAGCTGAATAATCCTCTTGTCCCTTACATTTCTTTGCCAGTTATACAACAGCCAATGCGGAGTCTGACAATGAGCGGGACTCTGACAAAGAAAGTGAGGACGGGGAAGATGAAGTGAGCTGCGAGACTGTGAAGATGGGAAGAAAGGATTCTCTGGACCTGGAGGAGGAGGCAGCTTCGGGTGTTGTGCCCAGTGCCCTGGAGGCTGGAGGTTCCCCAGGCTTGGAGGATGTGCTGCCTCTCCTGCAGCAGGCTGACGAGCTGCACAGGGGTGATGAGCAAGGCAAGCGGGAGGGCTTCCAGCTGCTGCTCAACAACAAGCTGGCGGTGAGGCTCCAGCTGCCTGCCTGCTTCTCCTTCCCTCCCTCCCTCCCTCCATCTGCTTCTGAGCCCTGGGGAATGAAGGCCCATGTGGTTACTGCCCCTCCAAGGTGACATGGGACGAGAAATGGTGAGACAGCTGGTTCTGCATCTGTCCCCCAGGTTGCATATCCTCTTCTAAGGAGGCCCAGCATGGACCCTAGGGCCAGGGTACCGCTTGCCCCAGAGCTGCCTCCCCTTTGGGGATGGGGAGCGTAGTCCTCTGCCTTCTGTAGAGCTACTGCAGAAAGAACTGTACCTTTCACCTCTAGGGGGAAATGTGGAAAGAACTGTATTTTTTTTCTCCTCTTGTTTCCCTTGAGGCAGAGTCCAAGCTGCCAGCCCCATTACAAGTGACAACTGTGTAGGTCGTTCACCCACAATTCTCTTCTGAGGTTCAGACAAAATTTATGCCCACCCAGGTATAAATGCCCCCCTCCGGAAGTTAGAAGTTTCCCTTTTCCTTTCACACTTTCTTCATGTGTCAGCAAAAGACCTCGTGCTTTATGACATCTTGGAGTTGACCTTTCCTCCCGCCAGTTCTAGGAGGCCAGAATGCCCTCTGTGATTGTGCAAGCTACTGGCTAGACAGAGAATGTGTCATACATTAACTGCATGTGGGAAGGGATGACTAGGGGGAAGACTGCCTGTAGGAGCTGGCCTGATATTGATGATTGTAACATACTAGCTTGGAAATTCAAACCTAGGGTGTGGGGGAAGGCCAGGGCCCCCATTCTCCACAGCTGAGGAAAAAGGGGCCTTACCTGTTTCTGTCTGGTCTTCAGTATGGAAGCCGGCAGGACTTTCTCTGGCGCCTGGCCCGAGCCTACAGTGACATGTGTGAGCTCACTGAGGAGGTGAGCGAGAAGAAGTCATATGCCCTAGATGGTAAGTGCTGACAGCTTCCTGTGGGAAGGTGACTGGTTCAGGGGTGGGGCTGGCCCATCTGCGTGGGGACCTGGGGAACCACCAAGATGCTGTCAGAGCAGTTGTGGCTCAGTTACCCACTAGGGACAAACTCTGGCTCCCCGAGACCCTTGCTTTCTCCTCTGGAGGAAGAGAGCAGTCTTTGTTTATCTGTATATCATGCTGATTAGTAACACAAGTGCATATGTTTTTAGGAGTATTTGTATCCTATCAGCATTATTCGTTTTTCTCACTCTCTAGCCACAGAGGGCAAAACCTTTTTTCTTAACCTGAGTTTTTTTTGCTACTTAGAAATCTGGTTTCAGTTATGAAGCCTGTGGGGCAGGTATTCTAAGAATATGGGTAGCTTATGCCGGGCGCGGTGGCTCACGCCTATAATCCAGCACTTTGGGAGGCCGAGGTGGGCAGATCACGAGGTCAGGAGATCGAGACCATCCTGGCGAACACAGTGAAACCCCGTCTCTACTAAAAATACAAAAAAGTTAGCCAGGCATGGTGGCAGGCACCTGTAGTCCCAGCTACTTGGGAGGCTGAGGCAGAATGGTGTGAACCCGGGAGGCGGAGCTTGCAGTGAGCCAAGATCGCGCCACTGCACTCCAGCCTGAGCAACAGAGTGAGACTCCATCTCAAAAAAAAAAAAAAAAAAAGTGTGTATATATATATATATATATAGCTAGCTTAGAAGACTCTGGAATCCACTTGGCAAGTCTATTGGCAAAGGCTCCACCCTGGAGGATAGGGTGCATCTGACCTATGCCAGGCTCAGGGCTTGGCCTTGTCTGTCATGAGGTCAGAGAATCCTGGGACTTAAGAGACTGATGTGTCCTACTGAACTCCACACACTGAGTCAGGTACTATCAGTGGGTTTCTAGGTCTGTGGTTCAGTTAGTATCTTTTTTTTTTTTTTCAGTCTTTCTCTGTTGCCTAGGCTGGAGTTCAGTGGCCTGATCTCGCCTGACTGCAACCTCCACCTCCTGGGCTCAAGCAATTCTCCTGCCTCAGCCTCCCCAGTAGCTGGGATTACAAACACATGCCACCATACTAATTCTTATATTTTTAGTAGAGATGGGGTTTCGCCATGTTGGCCAGGCTGGTCTCGAACTTCTGGCCTCAAGTAATCCACCCACCTAGGCCTCCCAAAGTGCTGGGATAACAGGCATAAGCCACTGCGCCTGGCCAGTTAACTGTCTAAAACAGATTTGTTTACCTTTGTATTATAAGTACAGCCTGATAAATATTATTGAATCCTTGATAATGTGTACTCTAACAATACCTCAAGGTTAATATTCTAAACATCTGTAGAATTCTGTCCATGGAGAAAGAACAGACCAGTTGAGTAAGATGTCTCTGCAGACCCTCAGAAAAATTCCTGGAAGTTTTAACAAAAGATGCTTAATTATGATTACTTTCTCTTCAAAAGTTTCTATTTTCCCTCCTGAATTTCAGGTGAGGATTCCCAGTCAGCTTTTGGGCTGATTTTTGGAGTTGTCATGTCAACAACCTTTCCTTTCCCTCTTGATCACTGATCATCTCTTATTAGTGCTAGTAGCCAGCATGAACCACAAAGACAGAAGTGGAGGCAGTGGTTAGAGGGACAGCACTTTGTTGGTCTGGCCTCCTGAGCTTAGCACCCATGGACAAATCTTTACCTGCTGGAGGTCAGATGACTATGGAATGTCTCTGAAGGTTCTGCTCTGACATCACAGCCTTTAAGAATTATCCTTACTGGGTGTAAAGTTTATTTCATTGTATCTCTAGGAGCTGGACCACCAGGAGGTACTCATTCTGTGGGGTCTCAGGCAATGTCTTGTCTACAACGCTGTCTGTCTAGCTTGTCAGCAACTGGTTGTCTCATTCTGCTATTATTTTCCTAGTGAGACAGTACTTTGAAGAGGGCAGAGAGAAATTCCCAAAGAGGCAGTGTCCCTCATTGGTGGGGCCATGTGGTCCTTCTGTTTGGGAAGGATCCCAGCACTTTGGGAGGCTGAGGCAAGTGCATCACCTGAGGTTAGGAGTTCGAGACCAGCCTGGCCAACATGGCGAAACCCATCTCTACTAAAAATACAAAAATTAGCCGGGTGTGGTGGCACACACCTATAATCCCAGCTACTGGGGAGGCTGAGGCAGGAGAATCGCTTGAACCCGGGAAGCAGAGGTTGCAGTTAGCTGAGATCACGCTACTGCACTCCAACCTCCAACCTTGGCAACAGAGTGAGACTCTTGTCTTAAAAAAAAATCCTATGTTGCAGTGTCTTCTCCAGTGCATAGGCATATGATGATCCTTATCTGACAGTCCATAGGCTCCAGCCTCGATACTTTTTTTTTTTTTGGAGATAGAGTCTTGCTCTGTTGCCCAGGCTGGAGTGCAGTGGAGCAATCTTGGCTCACTGCAAGCTCCGCCTCCCAGGTTCACGCCATTCTCCTGCCTCAGCCTCCCATTTAGCTGGGACTACAGGCGCCTGCCACCGCGCCCGGCTAATTATTGTATTTTTGGTAGAGACGGGGTTTCACCGTGTTAGCCAGGATGGTCTTGATCTCCTCACCTCGTGATCCGCCCATCTCAGCCTCCTGAAGTGTTGGGATTACAGGCGTGAGCCACTGCGCCCGGCCCAGCCTTGATACTCTTAAGTGACACTTGTCAGAACTTTCATGTGTATGGGCTTTCATTTCTTTGTTAGAACACTAACCTAGAAAGCTTGGGTTAAGACTAAGTGAAAGTCATCTCTGGTCAGACCTCAGTCCATGTGGCTCTTGTGAAAGAGTTTTGGTCTAGAGCTAATTAATATTCTTGGATTGTGGATCCTTTTGAGAAGATATATACACACACACACACACACATTTTTTATATATATTTTATATATATACATATTTTATATATATATATATATTTTTTTTTTTTAAGAGATAGGGTCTAGCTGTATTGCCCAGATTGGTCTTGAACTCTTGGTCCCAAGCTATCCTCTCCTTGGCCTCTCAAAGTTCTAGGATTACAGGTGTGAGCCAATGTACCCATCCCCTTTAGAGAATTTTATCAAAGCTGTGATCCCTCTCCCCAGTTACCTAAAATTTTATACAACTTGAGATCCATGGACACCACCCCTCCAGAATAAGGTCTGTTGGGGAAAATTTCTGATTGTGTTGGATCTTTTTTTTTTTTTTGAGGCAGAGTCTCTGTCACCCAGGCTGAGTGCAGTGGTGCAATCTTGGCTCGTTGAAACTTCTGCCTCCCAGGTTCAAGTGATTCTTCTGCCTCAGCCTCTCGAGGAGCTGGGACTACAGGCATGTGCCAACACACCTGGCTAACTTTTGTATTTTTACTAGAGACAGGGTTTCGCCACGTTGCTCAGGCTTGTCTTGAACACTTGATCTCAAGTGATCCACCCACCTCGGCCTTCCAAAGTGCTAGTATTACAGGCATAAGCCATCGTGCCTGGCTGGATCCTTTTATATTTCAAATGCTAAAATCTGCTTCAAGCACATCAGGTGGGCGTTATAAAAAGAAGGTAACTTGGGTTTCTAATGACAGATGGGGAAGCCAAGGTGAAGCAGAAGTCATCCCTGAAGTCTTCCCTTAGAAGCCGTTTGCAGCCTTTTCTGAGAGTCTCACTCTGTCACCTAGTCTGCAGTGCAGTGGTGCAATCTTGGCTCACTGCAACTTCTGCCTCCTGGGTTCAAGTGATTCTCCTGCCTCAGCCTCCTGAGTAGCTGGGACTACAGGTGCCTGCCACCAAACCCAGCTAATTTTTGCATTTTTGGTAGAGATGGGGTTTCACCATGTTGGCCAGGCTGGTCTCCAACTCCTGACCTCAGGTGATCTACCCGCCTCAGCCTCCCAAAGTGCTGGGATTACAGGCGTGAGCCACTGTGCCTGGCTTGTTTGAGGCCTTTTATTCTGCTCAAGTTCACAACTATTTCCAAACAAGTACAAGCTGGGTAGGGATTGATGAGAGCTAAAGCAGTCATTCTTCCCACAAGCCTTCCTATGAAAGTGTGCATAAGAGCTGTGTCAACTCTGGATCTACCTTTGTCCTACAGGAAAAGAAGAAGCAGAGGCTGCTCTGGAGAAGGGGGATGAGAGTGCTGACTGTCACCTGTGGTAATAACACCCTGCAGTGTTCTGGGAAGAGCCAGCAAGGGCCAAAGCAGAGGACAGCTCTTTCTTTTCTCTGCCTGGGCCACAGAGGCATTTTCCAAAGGATCCAGGAGAGGGAGCTCTGGCTTGTATTTCCACATGCCTCAGTCTACCCCTAGCCAGAGACAAGGGAAGTTTCTGGTAGGGGAGGTGGCTTGGGGATGAGGCAAGGGGGGAGTACAAGGTTTTTTCTGATGGGGCTTGGAGAAATGAGTAGCTTTGTAAGAGTCATCCTAGCTACAAAACTGGAGTTCTTGGCTCTCAGGAGGCTGGGACAATTTGCAGCTACCCTATCCTGCACAAGCTCTTCTTTCCACTGTGTGATCCCTGGCTGCTGGTACTTCAGCTTCTTTGCTTGGTTTGCGTGAGGAAAAGTAGATGTGAGCTCACCCCTCCGGAAACATCAGAGGCAAAGTTCTGTCAACTTGCCTGGGCCAGGGCGAACTCAAATCCTGGGGTCTGGTTCCAGCACCTGAGTTTTAGTGAAAATGTTCCTTTCCCACTGCCACCCTTGCTTTTCATGTCTCCACCCTCAGACTGTGAGCTAAGTGAGAGGCTGTGTTTCTCCATCTGTTGCTGAAACTTTTGTCTCTGCAAGGGTTCTTCTCAGAGGCCAGGTAACTGTTTCTTGGGTGTCACTGCTTCTCGGGGCTTCCAAGGATGAATAGCTATTCCTGAGGAACAGCTGTTTGGATTAAATATGGAAATGAGCCTCTAGAAGTGTCTGATACCCTCCAGATACTTAGCATATACATGAAAAAGCAACTTGGGCTGGTTATTCATCTAATGTCAACTGTGCTGCTAGGAACAATGCTGGGGGGATGGGGGAGTAAGACTTTGTTTCTGAAGACATGATGGGAAGCTGGCTGGTTGGTTCCCTTTGGGAGTGGCAATGTGGGGAAGAGGGCAAATATAGGAGGTCTTTCTTTCTCTGGTTCTGTTGGTTTCCAAGTTAACATTAGAAATTCCTAGAATATCCCCTCCCAATGTGACTATCCTAAGAAATTGCTTCCCAAGTCCCAGTGATACACCTGTATGCTTAAAAGCTAATAAGACCCACTTTTTTGTCTGCCCAGAAGATAAGTAGTATACTCAGGTCTCATACTTTCATGCTGATTATTTTGATGCTTTAAGTTTTTATTAATGCCTGTGGCTGTACTCTTTATGAGAGGGGAAATCTGGAGATATGGACTGAGAACTTGCATAAATTAAGTGTAAGAGAGATTTACTGTGGTGAATCCAGCTTTTTTTTAATACCTAGAATACTCTGGAGACTTGTAAGCCTACCATTATCTACTAAAGAATACCAATTGGGGCCAGAGGTCTGTGAAGAGAGGGGATTACGTAGAGATAAAAATTAGGTACTTTTAGCGCTAGTTGAGGGTAGAGGGATAGGGGACAATGCAACTAGGCTGTGGGTGGGGCATCCATTCCTTACAGTGATGGTGCTCAGCCCTTGTCCCTGAGCTTGCTGCTTCCCCCCTAGGTATGCGGTGCTTTGTGGTCAGCTGGCTGAGCATGAGAGCATCCAGAGGCGCATCCAGAGTGGCTTTAGCTTCAAGGTGAGGACAGGCTTTTCCTCCTTCCTTGTGCTGGCCTATCCCAGATTCCCTGCTCCTTTCCGACTCCCTGCCAAAAGCTTTTCTACAGCCTCAGTGACTTGCCTCTCCTCCTTCTTCTTCTGTTTTTTTTTTTTTTTTTTTTGAGACAGAGTCTTACTCTGTTGCCCAGGCTGGAGTGCAGTGATGTGATCTTGGCTCACTGCTACCTCTTGGGGTCAAGCGATTTTCCTGCCTCAGCCTCCCAAGTAGCTGGGATTACAGGCATGTACCACCATGCCCGGCTAATTTTTGTATTTTTAGTAGAGATGGGGTTTCACCATCTCTGTTGGCCAGGACTAGTCTCAAACTCCTGACCTCAGGTGATCCACCTGCTTCAGCCTCCCAAAGTGCAGGGATTACAGGCATGAGCCACCGCATCCGGCCCTTGCCTCTCTTTTAGCAACTCTGGTGTCTAATGTTAGTTTATATTTACATTTTCCCCTTAGGAGCATGTGGACAAAGCCATTGCTCTCCAGCCAGAAAACCCCATGGCTCACTTTCTTCTTGGCAGGTGGTGCTATCAGGTAAGCTGCATTTCAGCACTTGACTTATTGGTCCTAAATGCCTTCTGATACTGATTTCCTTGCCAGGAAGAACAAGATCCTCAGCCTGGTCTGGCTCAGGTGCCCTTTCCTCTGAATGCTCATATTATTGGTGGTTGGACCCAGCTTCGTTTGACCATATTTTCAGTATATCCCCAAAGATTTAAAAAAAAAAAAAAAAACTTTTAAAACCTCTTATACACACCTTGATCTTTTGGTGGCAGGTCTCTCATCTGAGCTGGCTAGAAAAAAAAACTGCTACAGCCTTGCTTGAAAGCCCTCTCAGTGCCACTGTGGAAGATGCCCTCCAGAGCTTCTTAAAGGTATCAGAGAGGGGCAGGTGGCAGGCAAAAACACCAGGGTAACCTTTTTTCCTAAGGACATTACTGAGACCCTTAATGGGAGGGGTTTTCCTGGTAGGGGGCAATTTTGTGTTTGCCTGTTCTATGGGAAAATCAGAATCACTTGCACAGCTTATCAAAAATATAGATTTCTTCAGACCCACTGAATCAGCCACATGGTTGGGGAATAGAAATCTCTAACAAACTTCAGCCTAATTAGAATATAGGAACCTCTTACTGAAATATCTTTGTCCCTTTTCCCAGGCTGAAGAACTACAGCCAGGATTTTCCAAAGCAGGAAGGGTATATATTTCCAAGGTAAACTCACTTTTCTACTTCAACATAGTTCTGGGGAACTCCTGAAAGCACACAGTATCAGTTTTCACTGTTGTCTCTTTTCAGTGCTATAGAGAACTAGGGAAAAACTCTGAAGCTAGGTGGTGGATGAAGTTAGCCCTGGAGCTGCCAGATGTCACAAAGGAGGTAATGCTTTTTAAGTTGGGCAGATCACCTGAGGTCGGGAGTTCAAGGTCAGCCATAGAGAAACCCCGTCTCTACTAAAATTACAAAATTAGTTGGGCATGGTGGCACATGCCTGTAATTCCAGCTACTCAGGAGGCTGAGGCAGGAGAATCGCTTGAATTCAGGAGGTGGAGGTTGCAGTGAGCTGAGATCATGCCACTGCACTCCAGCCTGGGCAACAAGAGCGAAAGTCCATCTCAAAAAAACAAAACTGCCTGTCATCACTGAATCATGTGACATTTTTAGAAAAAAGTCTTTCCTAGAGGTCTTATTTCCCTAGGAAAAAGCATCTACCTCTAGGGGGAAGAGACAGATTTAATAGGCTCCAGGCTATCCTGGGAAAGTAAGAAAAAGACTGTAGCAGAGCTCAGAAAGGAAACAAAGGGCCCCTCTTCTCAGGTTCCACTGGTTTGGGAAAATGCTGGTTTAAATATTGAGTCCTAGATTTGTTCTTTGTCTCCCTAGGATTTGGCTCTCCAGAAGGACCTGGAAGAACTGGAAGTCACTTTAGGAGACTAACCACATTTCACTGGCCTTCATGACTTGATGCTACTATTTAAGAGTTGGGGGAAAAAGGCTTTTTTCCTTAGACCTTGCTGAGATCAGGAAACCACACAAATCTGACTCCTGGGTCTGACTGCTACCCAGTACCATTCCCCATTAGTTAATTTATTCTAACCTCTAACCTAATCTAGAATTGGGGCAGTACTCGTGGCTTGGGTTTCTGTTATTCTCCCCCTTGAGTAATCTCTTGAAAAAAATCAAGATTCACACCGGCCCCAGGATTACACATGGGTAGAGCCTGCTGGTGACGTGGATGAACTTCAAAGCTATAGGAACAAAGCACAGAACTTGTCACTTTAATCTTTTTCACTGACTAATAGGCCTCAATACATATAGTCCTAAGATCATAACTTACCTACCAAGGTAAAAGGGATCAGAGTAGCCCATAGGCATTGCTTTCTTATCACCTATCATGTGAATTCTACCTGTATTCCTGGGCTGGACCACTTGATGACTTCCAGAGTCCTGTCAGCTTTTGGAATGACAGCAGTGGTATAGGGTTTATGATGCTATAAAACAATGTCTGAAAAGTTGCCTAGAATATATTTTGTTACAGACTTGAAATAAACCAAATTTGATGTTATCAGCTCTTTATTCTTACTTGACACCTCCATAATTGTTTCCACCTACAGAGGCTATTGCAGGCAGGTTATGATTAATGCTCTTTATAGTATATACAATACAGGTATCAAGCTTATTTTTAGCCTAAATAAGGCCTATTGCAACTAAGCCGGTACTCCCTGCCCCTCTCATGTTCATTCTTAGGGCCACGAGCACAAACCCCTAAATCCACCTAGAAGAAAATTTAGATGCTTAGTTAGGGCGTGCTAGCTCATGCTTGCAATCCTAGCACTCTGGGAGGCCGAGGTGGGTGGATCACATGAGGCCAGGAGTTTGAGACCAGCTTGGCCAACATGATGAAACCCCCATCTCTACTAAAAATACAGAAAAAAAATTAGCTTGGTATGGTGGCACATGCCTGTAATCTCGGCTAGTAGGGAGGCTATGGCAAGAGAATCACCTGAGCCTGGGAGGCAGAGGTGGTAGCGAGCTGAGATCATGCCATTGCACTCCAGCCTGGGCAACAAGAGTGAAACTCTGTCTCAAAAAAAAAGATTGAGATGCTTTCATATAAGAACCAACCTCTTAATCCAGAATGTCACTGTGTCTTTATTATACCAACCCAGGTTTTTGTTTTTTTTTTTTTTGAGATGGAGTCTTGCTCTGTTGCCCAGGCTGGAGTACAGTGGCACGATCTCAGCTCACTGCAACCTCCACCTCCCGGGTTCAAGCGATTCCACTGCTTCAGCCTCCTGAGTAGCTGGGATTACAGGCGCACACCACCACCCCCAGCTAAACTTTTTTGCATTTTTAGTAGAGACAGGGTTTCATCATGTTGGCCAGACTGGTTTCGAACTCCTGACCTCAGGCAATCTGCCTGCCTTGACCTCCCAAAGTGCTGGGATTACAGGTGTTAGCCACTGTGCCTGGCCCCCAGATTTATTCTGTGGTATAGTAATGAAAGAGGACCTGAGATACACTCAATTTCAATAATAAAACATTCCTTTTTGGTCTAAAACCTAGATTCAGTGGGTCTGGGAATCCATCTGTCTCCAGGTGATTTTCCCAAAGAACAGGCAAACACAAAATTGCCCCTTACCAGAAACCCTCCCACTAAGGGTCTCAATAATGTCCTCGGGGGAAAAACAAGGTTACCCTGGTATTTCTGTCACCCGCATCCCTCTTCTCCCCCTCACCCCCTCAATACCTTTAGGAAGCTCTGGATGGCATCCTGCACAGTGGCACTGAGAGGGCTTTCAAGCAAGGCTGGAGCTGCTTTTTTTTTTTTTTTCCTAGCCAGCTCAGGTGAGACCTGTCACCAAAAGATTAAGGTGTGAATAAGAGGTTTTAAAGGTTTTTTTTTAAAATTAGGAATGCTGACTATTCTGTATGGAGAACAAGCAGCTTGGCCCAGCCACCAATAACACGAGCATTCAGAGGAAAAGGTACCTGAGCCAGATCAGGCTGAAAACCTTATTCTTCCTGGCAGGGATATCAGTGTCATTGGACACTTACTTTTTTTGGGTTTTTTTTTGGTTTTTTTTGAGATGGAGTCTCGCTCTGTACCCAGGCTGAAGTGCAGTGGTGTGATCTGGGCTCACTGCAACCTCTGTCTCCCGGGTTCAAGCGATTCTCCTGCCTTAGCCTCCTGCGTAGCTGGGATTACAGGTGTGTGCCGCCACGCACAGGTAAGTTTTGTATATATTTTTGAGATGGGAGTTGTTTTCGCTCCTGTTGCCCAGGCTGGACTGCAGTGGCACGATCTTGACTCACTGCAACCTCCACCTCCTGGGTTCAAGCAATTCTCCTGCCTCAACCTCCCAAGTAGCTGGGATTACAGGCATGTGTAACCACACCCGGCTAATTTTGTAATTTTAGTAGAGATGGGGTTTCTCCATGTTGGTCAGGCTGGTCTCAAATTCCTGACCTTGGGTGATCTGCCCGCCTCAGCCTCCCAAAGTGCTGGGATTATAGGTGTGAGCCACTGCGACCACCCAGTTTTTTATTTTTAGTAGAAATGGGGTTTTGCCATGTTGGCCAGGCTGTTCTCGAACTCCTGACCTCAGGTGATCCGCTCGCCTCAGCCTCCCAAAGTGCTGGCATTACAACTGTAAGCCACTGTGCCTGGCCTCCTTATATGTATTAGTATCTTATATAACATCATGTTGTACACCTTAACTGTACAATAAATTTATTTTAAAAACAGGAAAACATTTTGGATGGTCACTGAGCACTTTGGGTAAGATATGGATTGGAAGTGCTAACTACTGAAATGAAGTAAAAGGAAAAAAAGAGTCCCATAAACTCCATTTGGCATCTGGCTTCCAGGGACATTGACAATGCTACTTTTCAATCTTTGATTTTTTTTTTTTTGAGACAAGGCCTTGCTTTGTCACCCATGCTGCAGTGCAGTGGTGTGATCAGGGCTCACTGCAGCCGCTACCTCCTGGGCTCAAGGGATCCTCCCACCTAAGCCACCGGAGTAGCTGGAGACTACAAGTGTATCCCAACATGCATGAATAATTTTTTAACTTCTAAATTTTTTGTACAGACAGGGTTTCACCATGTTGCCCAGGCTGACCTCAAACTCCTGGCTCAAATGATCTACCCACTTTGGCCTCCCTAAGCGTTGGAATTACAGATGTGAGCCACCACACCTGGCCCAGTCCCTGATTCTTAATCTTTAAAGACAGGCCTGGTGTGGTGGCTCACATCTGTGATCCCAGAACTTTGGGAGGCTGAGGTGGCCAGATTACCTGAGGTCAGGAGTTCAAGATCAGCCTTGTCAAAATAGTGAAAAGCATCTCCACTAAAAATACAAAAATTTGTCAGGCATGGTGGCACGTGCCTGTAATCCCAGCTACTCAGGAGGCTGAGGCAGGAGAATCGCTTGAACCTGGTAGGCGGAGGTTGCAGTGAGTTGTGCCATTGCACTCCAGCCTGGGCAACAGAGCAAGACTCTGTCTCAAAAAAAAAAAAAAAAAGAAGTCCAGGGGCGGTGGCTCACACCTGTAACCCCAGCACTTTGGAGGGCCGAGGCGGGCGGATCACAAGGTCAGGAGATCGAGACCATCCTGGCTAACACGGTGATGTCTCTACTAAATTTTTATCTCTACTATTTTTGTCTCTACTAAAAATAGAAAAATTAGCCAGGCGTGATGGCGGACGCCTGTAGTCCCAGCTACTCGGGAAGCTGAGGCAGGAGAATGGTGTGAACCTGGGAGGCAGAGTTTGCAGTGAGTCCAGATTGCACCACAGCACTCCAGCCTGGGCGACAGAGCCAGACTCCGTCTCAAAAAAAAAAAAAAAAAAAAAAAAAAAAGACTAGAACTGCTTTTAAAACAAAGCATCACAGGGCTATGCAAGGTTGTTCGTGCCTGTAATCCCAACACTTTTGGAGGTCAAGGTGGGCAGATCACTGAGATCAGGGGTTCGAGACCAGTTTGGCCAACATGGTGAAACCCTCTCTCTACTAAAAATACAAAAATCAGCAGGGCGTGGTGGCAGGCATCTATTGTCCCAGCTACTCGGGAGGCTGAGGCTGGAGAATTGCTAGAACCCAGGAGGCGGAGGTTGTGGTGAGCTGAGATCGCGCCACCGCACTCCAGCCTAGGCAACAAGAGTGAAACTCCGTCTCAAAATAAAAGCCACAAGGCAAGCCATGGTATGTCTGTCTTTTATTTTCTATTAGGTTGAAAGACAAGCATAATCATCTGCAAGTGGGACTTTCCTTTCTGGTTTCAAATCTTAAAGTAATAGAAACTGATCACCCCTATACAGAGCCAAAAAGATTATGGAAACCCTGTCTTGAAATAAGCTTGCACTAGAATAACTGCTATAAACAGCACATTCACTACTAATAACTACTTTATTAGAAGCCTCACAATCAAATCTGTTTACTTAGCCTCTGAAATGCTTGCTTGCTTTTTTGTTTGAAACATGGTCTCATTCTGTCACCCAGGCTGGAGTACAGTGGTACAATCTCAACTCACTGCAACCTCCACCTTCTAGGCTTAAGTGATCCTCCCACCTCAGGCTATCGAGTAGCTGGGACTACGGGCACGTGCCACAGCATGTCCAGCTAAGTTCTGCATTTTTTGTAGTGAAGGGGTTTCGCCATGTTGGCCAGGCTGGACTTAAAACTCCTGGGCTCAAGCGATCCACCACCTCGGCCTCCCAAAATGTTGGGATTACAGGCACAAGATACCACACCTGGCCTGAAATGCTTAAGACTCTAGAATTATCTTGAGTTAGTCTTAGCAATAAAAGACCAAGCAGGTAGATGGTGAAGGGCTAATGGCCCAGTAGGCTTGGCACAAGACTCTATAACCAAAACCTTACACAAGATCATTCAGACAGACAACTTAAAAACCTGCTTGAGAGTTTTACTGACAGAAAAAAAGAATCTGTGCAGAGACCCATTCCCTTTGCTACATAGCTCAGGCATTTTATTTTACCATTAATTCAGAAGTGAGAGAAGGGTCACGTCTCTCCAGCTTTAGTTCTCTTGGAAGCTAAGATTGTCCAGTAGACAGCTTGTTAAACCCAAGTCATTCCCAAGGCACCATGTCAAAGACACTTCATACCCCTCCTCCAAAACCAAAGAAAACACACAGAGATTAATACACTACAGAAGGAATAAACATTTTAGATTAGTTTGTGATTACTGACCTGTCTCCTGTTTACACCATCAGAAAAGCTGATACAATAGCTGTTTTCCCGGAAGCCTTTTCCTGGTAGTCACAACAGGAAGAGGCCTGTAGAGAACCCCAGGGAGCAGTACACTCTCATTAGGCTGCAGCACTTAAGGTTTTTAACAGAGAAAAACCCAATGATTCAGTCTTTGGCATCTCCCACTCCATCTGCATTGATGGCAAACATAGCTTCAGCTTCAGGAAGACAGGGAGAGTCGTAGATTTTGCAGATTCTGGTTTCCCCTCTTCCTTTCCTCAGATACAATCTGACCCAAAGACACAGACCAAAGCACCAATTTATTATAATTAAACAATTCCATCCTGACTT